ATTTTGTTCAGCAGAGCGGTGGTTACTCTCACATAATTGCTGCTGCAAATTCTTTTGGGAAAAATGTCATGCCACGCGCAGCTGCGCTTTTAGATGTTTCTCCAGTTACTGATGTTACTGGAATTTCTGATTCCAATACTTTTGTGAGGTACATTCTCGTGTTCTCTTTTTTAATTTAATGACTAGGAACCTGCTGCTTATTGCAAATTTCAATGGTGGTCACCTACTATTAAAACTGTGATGGAATGGTACTACTGCTAGCTTATGCTATACTTTTTGGTAACAGGAAATTGTTGTATTTACTGTGTAAATTTCTATATATTTGGTTTGCTGGTTAAACAAGATGCCCCATTGCGTATTGTTATCATGTGAGTTATTGACTATATAAGGTATTCTAATTAGGGAGCTGTGCTATTGCTAATATAGCCTTTCCTTGGCAATACTCAAGTTCATATTATGGATTTCATGGAAGATCTCCGCTTTTGGACTGTGTCTGGGAAGAAACTGTTTTATCATTTAGCCCAGTCAATGTATACAATCAAGCTAATGAATTTTTAAGGCTTTCAGAGTAATAAAGCTAAAAATGCCACTGATGCATCATATTGTTGTTCTTGTTACTGTCTTCTATTATGAATCATTGGAAAGATTATTTGCACAACAATATTAGAAATGTCAAGTCAAGAAGATTAAAATCAAATTTGTTTTTTGCTGCGCTGGCTATAACCAAGGTATGTTGGGCAATTTTAGTATGACAAGCTTTTCTTCAGCTCAATAGTCAATGCTGTTAATAGTTTTCTCATTCTTTCTTTTTACACGTTTATAAAAGCTTTTTGTAAACAAAGCAGTGAGTATTTAAAGATCTAATAGAAAGCTGAAATCCAGACTAAACAACTTATAAACTTTAAACCTGGATTATATTGGGACATTTTAACTCTGGGAAGGTATTTCTATCAGTCAGAGTATATTTTTCCATAGATATCGTTTGGACTGAAGTGAACTCTGGATAGGAAGACATAGAAATAGATATAAACCCCGTTCGAGATGCATTATTTAACACACAACGAGTGTAATCAGAACGAGCCATTCCAGAACGCCAACCACATACGTACGTTCAACAAAATGCACCAATGTGGTTTAAAGATTGAAAACAAAAATTCATAACATAACATAAATTCAAAGATTGAAATATGGTTCAGAGACTGAAAACAAAAATTCATAACATAACATATACTAAGAAAGTTTAAAGAAATTATTGAGGAGGAAAATTATATATCTGGATAATGCTGAAGGTGCCAATTATACATCTTATCCACCATATAATTATAATGTTGTTGGCGTTCATCCATCTCTTGTAATCGACGATCCATACACTGAATGGCTGACAAGATATCAGCATTATCTACCTGTACATGTGGTTGTGTGGTGAAATATTGGTCCTATTTGTCCTCTTCCTCTACTTCAGGTTGTACCTCCTCAAGAACAGGTTATTGTTGTTGTACATCGGTCAATGACTCCAAGGGGAAACACCATATCGTTTCATCCTTGACTGTATAGTGGTGATTTGGTAGTAAGTAGTTCACTCCAGTTTGACTAACAATGAAATAAAACCTGCCACCATTGTCCTTAATGATACACTACATTGCATAACAAGTATTATAATTAATACTTCTAGGAACTCCTATATCCTGCAATTGGTCTAGAAATGGTGTATAGCCCAAATATTTAGCAATTGAAGTTATCAATCCCCCATTGAAAATATTACCAAATCCAGTATTTGAAATGCTTTGCACCTTGGGTTTTTTTCCTTGCACGATTTATAACTGTAATTTAGAATCATGGGCGTGAACTATAATCATTGACCGTTTGTGATTGGCGTTCTGGAACCAGAAGGGCAATTCTGGTTCCAGATGCATTAAAGAAATTCGGCATCCACCTATGCATCTATGTGGCATCCACGTGGCCAATAGTTAACTCCGTTTAAGAAATTTGGACGAAAGGTCCAACATTGTAGTAATTTAAATTATTAGGGACCAAATTGAGACCAAAAGTTAAAGTGAGACTAAATTGAAGCTTTAAAATATTATAAGGGACCAAATTAGATATTTAACCTATTATCTACTAACAACGTAATTTAAATGTGAATACAAAATATAACATTTTTAAGAATTAAAATTATCTACCGACTATATTACATTTAAATTAATAAAAGATTAAATATTGTCATAAATAATAAATATTTACTATACTAATTATAAAATTTTTTAAGAGACAAAGTTATCTACTAACCATACTACATTTAAGATAATAAAACATTAAATATTATTATAAATAATAATAAATATTTACTGTACTTAGTATTAAATTTACTATTTATTGTTTTAAATATTTTTAAAAAAATTATTAACATATTAAAATAATATTTATGTCTCATAATAATTTATATATTTTTAATTTTAAATAAAAATTAATTAAATTATTAAAATATATTTCTTTTCTACTGTATTCGCTATCGTGAAAACCACAGTACTAATTTTTACTGGTCCACTGTGAACCACTTGATATACAGGTTCACACTAGCCAGTGCCTTTATTTCATTGTTTGTTATAAGGCCTTCTAACATGAAGTATTTGAGGCCATGGGTCATCCATGAGGCACCAAAATTACTGGCAATAGCAAGTTTTTTAACTTGTTTAAAATTGCAAAATAGTCCTGATATTATATGCGAAAGCACTATGGAGGTGAGGTGGCAACGAAGGCACGGTGGCAGCGGAGGTGTCGTCTCCTTCTATGGCGGTGGCTGCGGAGGCATGACCTTCTTTGTGTGGTAGTAGCGGAGGCGCGATCTCCTTTGCATGGTGGCAGTGCGGAGGTGCAACCTCCTTCAAGCAATGGCAGCGAAAACGCGACTTCATTCGCGCAATGGCAGCAAATGTGCGGCCTCCTTCGCGCGATGGCAGCGGAAGCGTGACTTAGTTCGTGCAATGGCAGCAGAGGTGCGACCTCCTTCGCGTGGTGGTAGAGCGGAGGCGTGAGTGCCTTCAAGCGGTGGTAGCAGAAGTGTGACTTTGTTCGAGCGGAGGCGCGACCTCCTTCTTCGCGAGGTGGCAGCGGAGGCGTGGGCCGGCTTCTCCTCCTCGGCGCCATCTATGCCGCTACCTCCCCCTCCCCGTCGTTCGCGATGTTCAACTTTCCCAGGGCCTCTCATTCGCCCAAGTATATTATAGATATTATCTAGGTTAAATACCTAATTTGGTCCCTTATAATATTTTAAAGTTTCAATTTAGTCCCATTTTAATTTTTTGTCTCAATTTGGTCCCTAATAATTTAAATTACTACAATATCGGACCTTCCATCCAAATTTCTTAAATGGAGTTAATTGTTGGTCACGTGGATGCCACGTAGATGCATAGTTGGCAAGGTCCCATACGTATGTTGTTGTCTTCCTCCTCCTCCTTCTTTAATGCATCTGGAACGACCCGTTCTGAAACCAGAACATCCCATTCTGCTTGCACTCGTCGTGTGTTAATTTTGCATCTGGAACGACCCGTTCGAGATGCATTATTTAACACACAACGAGTGTAATCAGAACGAGCCATTCCAGAACGCCAACCACATACGTACGTTCAACAAAATGCACCAATGTGGTTTAAAGATTGAAAACAAAAATTCATAACATAACATAAATTCAAAGATTGAAATATGGTTCAGAGACTGAAAACAAAAATTCATAACATAACATATACTAAGAAAGTTTAAAGAAATTATTGAGGAGGAAAATTATATATCTGGATAATGCTGAAGGTGCCAATTATACTTCAGAATAATAAGAAAAATTATTCTACTCTAAATTTGAGAAAACTAATTGTAATCCTGACTCATAGGTGTGACTGAAGTGATACATGGGTGGTGGTTCATGCATATAGGGGAAGATTTTCCCATTCTAGTCTTAGGCTTACGAAAGGAGTAGAAAAAGTGAAATTCTAATGTACATTGATTGGCCAAAGAGAAAGTGATAATAACTGAAGGTTCCTGAACAAGTATTCTTATAGCTTCTCTATATGTTCTTTTGCTAAAGTTGACATCTATAACGATTATCTTATATTCAAGTTATTGATTATGATCCTGCTTCTATCTTAAATATGAATATGTGTTTGGTTCTTTGTCTAACTGAAAGTAAAATTTTGATTTCATATACAGGCCAATCTATGCTGGAAATGCACTTTGTACTGTTCGATATACTGGTGCCAATCCTTGCATATTAACAATTAGATCCACATCTTTTCCCGTTCCTCAGAATTCAGCCGACTCAAAATCTAATGAGGCTTCAATATCTCAGGTTGACCTTTCAACCTTTGATGAAGGTCTGTTTTTTTTTGTTTTTGTTTTTTTTTTCTCCTTTCTGTTGCATGAACATTTTAGTTTTTGGAAAATTGAAAAAGACAGAAATGCATTTTGTCCTTAATTATCTACCGACAATAGATCCTGCATGGATGCTTAAACAGCTATGTTTCAACAATATCACAGATAATTATCCTCAGTCATATACATCTATTTGATCAGTTACCTCCTGTTAGACTTGAATACTTAAACCTCTCATATGGAGAAAGAATCTTTAATTATTCTTATTTCTTTTCTTCTTTTTGTTTTGGGTAGGTTTGGACAAGTCTAGATATATATCTCAAACTTCCCAGGATGGTGAACGACCAGATCTTGGGAATGCACGCATTGTAATTACGGGTGGCCGAGCACTAAAGAGCGCTGAGAACTTTAAATTGATAGAAGATCTAGCCAAGAAACTTGGTGCTGCTGGTATTATTTGCTACATATATATGCCATTATGATACTTATTTTAATAGCTAGAGATTTGTTATCTCTGTTTGCGGGATTCACCACATGATAGGTCATTTGATCGATGGAAATTCTTATAATATCTAGTTCCTTGCCTTAACACATGATAGCTTGTTTGAATGTTATTAGTTTTTAAATTTTATTCTTTGCCATATGAATTAAGTAGAATCTGCTAACTTCATTCTCCTTTGCTTAGTTGGCGCCACTCGTGCTGCTGTTGATGCCGGATTTGTTCCTAATGATCTCCAGGTAACAACTTTACTTGCTTTCAAAATTAACCCCCCTACACACTGCCTCACACACATACAAAAGCAAAGTTGAATGAAGTCCTCATTCTAGATTCCTCTTTTTACATCCTTGTCTCCCTTTATTAACCTGCTAATTGTCATATTGCCTTGTGTAAATGGGAAAAATTGAAAGTTTTAAGACCATTGCAACTACTACAAGTCTGAAACGGCAAAACATCTCTTAGTGGAACAAAGAGGGATAGATTGTTAAAGTTCATATATTTATTTAATGCATTAAAAGTTGAACATATACTCTTTTTTTTTTCTTTCAAGCAGCCGGGCATTAATCATTTCATGTCATCTTTCATTCTTTTAGCAACTGTTTATAATTTAGAAAATTAAAATGGCACCCTGGTGAAATTGTATGCTCAGGATCCAAGGGCAGGTTGCATTCAGTGTTTGGGTCTGTAGTATGTTGGTTTATCTTGCATTTGCAAATGGTTTATTTTACAACTTGAACCTATGACCTTTGGTTTACATGGTGATAACATGAAGTGTCGCACCACCACCATGGCTCCCCTTCTTGACAAAATATTTGGAGATGCTATTTCAACCTAATGAATAAATTAGTAGAAGAAAAGATATGGTTTTCTGCTATCCTGACTTTGTTATTGAATGATCATGCAATGGCATATCATATGGAGTATTGGGATATGCATGTAATAGGCTTATTGAATTTCAGTAACCATTTCAAAATCTTATTGCCTAACGTAGTTGCCACATCAACATATTTCTATTGAATCATATTAATTCATTGCCTAATGTAGTTCTCGTGTCGATGTTTTCCTATTGGAAATATGATATGTAGGTAGGGCAAACTGGAAAGATAGTTGCTCCTGAACTCTATATGGCTTTTGGTGTATCTGGAGCTATTCAACATTTGGCAGGAATGAGGGATTCCAAGGTCATTGTTGCCGTGAACAATGATGCTGATGCTCCTATATTTCAGGTAATGAGCGTTTTAAACGGATCAAACTGCTCTCCATTTCAAAGTAATTGTTACTTTAGAAGTTTTACTTAGTTTCTAATTCGTTCACATTAAAAAGGCAAAAGCGGTGTGCAATGAGGCAGAGCATTAATGGAGTGAAAAACTAGTTTAATCAAACAAATATATTTGACTAAAATAATGACTTTCTTATTAATCTTTATGCAAAACCTTAATAGTGTGTTTGGATGGGGAATTTAAATGGAGTAATTCATTTATTTGAAGAATTTCAAATTCTTTGAGGTGAAATACTTTGTTTGGATGGAAAATTTATAAGGAATTTGAAATTCAAGCATTTGTGAAATTCCTTGAAATAGTAGAATTTCAAATTCTCCCAAAAAAGTAAGAATTTGAAATTCTTCATATTTTTTTTCTGCTTATTTCACTTATATATTTTATCTTATCTCTTATCTCTTCATATTTTTAATTGTTAAATATTCAAAAATATTTTTAAGATTATTAAATATTATATAATATTAATTTTTTAAAATGATTAAATATTTTAAAATTTGCTAATATTTATTTTTATAAAATTTAATTTAAAAATTCTCAACATATAAATATATTTTTAAAATCAATTTTACCATGGTAGAATCAAATTATCATATCCAACCTATTAATTTAAAATTTGAGAAATTTGAATTGACTTATCCAAACAAAATATTTTAAGAATGATAGAAATTGAAATCAAAGTAATTCAAATACCAAGAATTTAAAATTCCTTGAATTTGTAAAATTCTTCATCCAAACACACCATAAGAGAATGCAATTGTAAGAGACAATTATATGAGTAAGATGTTTATTGTATGGATTAGA